TTGAATGTGGAAATTGTCATATCTTGGAGGTCAGTTTTCATATTATTAGGTAGAGAATTCCATAATTTGGTTGATCTGTAATTAAATGTTCTTTTACCTTGTGAAGTATTCCATTTAGGTACTACTAAATTATTATTACTTTGACTTCGTGTACATTGATTATGGCTTTCTTCAGTATAAATAAATTTGCTTGACAAATATGATGGAGCATTTCCTTTTAGACACTTAAATAACATTATAAGAATTTGTTCATTCCATCTATTATTGAGTCTGCTCCATCCAAGGGAATTTAAAATATTACTAACAGGAGTCTTGATATCAACTGATAATAATATTCTACCTAATCTATTTAATAAAACTTGTAGAAAGTCTGAAAATTCAACTTTACAATTAGACCATACACAACAACAATAATCAAATAAGGGGATAACTAGTGCATTTGCCAACATATTGAGAGTGTGCGATGGAAGGTAGTATTTCACACGACAGATTATTCCAATTCGTTTTGAAATCTTTGAAGAGAGGCTGTCAATATGGTCTTTCCAGTTTAATTGGGGATCAAAGTTTACACCTAAATACTTATAAGAATTAACTCTCTCAATAATGTCATCATTATACGATACAGAAATATTTTTAAACCTAGAACTGGCATAAATAGTAGTGAAAACCATAAGCTTTGTTTTTTTTTATATTTAAAGTAAGTTGATTATCATGAAACCATTGAGTTATTTTATTGAAATTTGAGCTAAGTTTATTTTGAAGTATAATTGGGTCAGATGAACTACATAATATTGTTGTATCATCTGCATACATAACGCATTTACATGATAGGTAATTTGGAAATGTATCGGGCACTCAAAACATCTTTATACATACTTGGATTAACTTACTTAGTTGATGCAGCTTGTCTTTGTACTATCTCAAGACGTCCCTCCTTTGGTGTAAACACTCTGGAAGAGACATTAAAATTATTGTAGCATGCTACGGCAAGCACACACAAAAAATATAATACATACATCGTCATCATTCTCATTCATCATTTTTTTTTATTATTACAAATTACTTTGTATATTGAGCCAATCTAAAATGTTAATTATGTAAATTCTGGTGATACACAATATATAAACTATTGACATTAATCTATTTTCTGTAATCAGAATCATTCGACTGTATGAATGAGTTCTCTTTAGAAATGATATCCAACAATGTTAGAGATTTGAGCTAAGAATACAGGGATGGTATGTACATTACAATTATAATACAGTTTAAACTTGCATAAGTCGACGTTAAATAACTGAATTCATTTCTAAGTCTATCTTATTTTACATGCCAATTGTTGTGTTTTCCATTAATTAACAATCTGTAAGTAATTCTATCGTAGTCGTAAACAACTTTTCAATGCCATTTTGGATTTGACTTAGTCAAGTTCAACTGTATAGCAAAAATCACTAAAGTATGATACTGAAATTTAATGTTTCTTACTTAGGAATAAAATTAAACCGTTCTCTAAAAGGTTTGTTGGCAAGCTTTTGCCCGTTCAGCAACAGAATGTCAAATACAATGAAACATACTTGAAGATCTGGAAAAGAAAAAAAACAATTAATTCCATATCACTTTTTCTCTGAGTTTTTTGAAGGTGGAATTTAATACTGCTATATTTGAAATCATGCAGTAGTAGTATCTCTGGGAAATAAGAAGATAATTGAACTTACAGTATATACTATTTATATGGATTGCCACAACAGACAACTGGTTATCAGTTAAGCACTAAAGACTATATAACAATATATAAATGCACCATAAAAACATTAGAGAAAAAAAGGTTAACACAATCAAGGATCCCCTCATAAGAATATCTACTTCATATTACAAAATATGCATGAATAGTTTTCTTCCATTTTCATCCACTCTTTTAGCAATGACGATTTTTGCCTTAAATTACTATGTTGTGTATATATACCTGTGTCTCTCATTGATTTAACATCAAAATTTTCTCCTTTTGACCTAACAGAAATTAAGGAAAAAATATCTGTTATTAAATGCTTTTAGAAGACATCATTAATCTCCTAAACATTTCTGAATAAAAAAGTAGCTGCAAGTTTGTATTTCAACAAGCATGACACGAAAATTGCATTTTTTAAAATAAGATGTATAAAGTGAAATTAAGCACAGAAAACTATTCATATAATTGCATATTTCAGTGAATCTGACTGAATCCTGTATTCTTGGCCCAGGCAGGGCTGGCACGAGGGAAAACTGTAACAAGCGCAAGGGTTGGTGTGGGTCTCATTTATGAGAAAGATTGTGTCAAAGGTGCAACCAATTTTTTTTTTTTTTTTTTTTTTTGGGGGGGGGGGCCCTGACAATCTGGAGGGGCCCATTATTAGGGGACCCATGCCATAATTGAGGGCCCATGATAGTATTTATTATTATTTTTATGGGTTCCCTGGTAAGCTTGGGCCCTGGGATCTTTCCCCTTTTTCCTCTCAGTGGCTGGGCCCAGGTATGTAAAGATAACAACAGAATCTCTCCCTCAAGCAACTGCATGATTATGAACTCTATTTTGATTGAACAAAGGTCTAAATTAATATCGTCAATTTGAAAAAACAGAAGAATACACTGTAACTTACATAAATGCTTTTGTTTCAGGATTATAGGCAATCACTTCCCCATCTAAGATACATGATTTCACATCACTGTAAATATCACATATAAAATATGCATAAAAATAAATAAAATAATATAAATGACTATATTTATATAAGAATGGTTGGCAAACACATTAGGAAATGTTAATTTTCTTTCCTCACCAACAACCTGTTATTAATAATTTTTAAATTTCTTTAATTTCAAATTCATTTTAATTTCTTGAATAACATAAAAACAAAACATGATGCTGCCTTCCATAGATTGCCAAAAAGTTATAAAAACTATCAAGTGGCTCTCCTGACAGCATCACTACAAATTAAAAATCATAAATAGAAAGCAATTATTAATATTACTCCTACAACACATACAAATAAAGGCCAATCTAGCAGTAGGAAAATAACATATTATCTTCAAAAATTAAATTTAAAATTGTAAATAGTAAATAACTTACTTTACCTTTTGAAATACTTAGCAGCATATTGTGTGAAAGTTCCTGAAAATGAATTTTCACCAAACACATTACTGTATTCATGGGATCTGGTGAGAAAAAAGTAAATATAAGATATCATAACATAATTTATTATCAAAGATGGAAATTGTGTTTAAGTATATAAAACACACCACTATAAAATACACAAAATAATATATACAATAATCAGAAACAACCAATGTAATATACTGTAGTTATATGGACAGTGATTTAATTACCACATTTACATTTGAGGTAAAATATCATTTAGCAAAAAGTTAAACCAGAGCCTTGCAGGCGTCAACGTTCCTATGCATGATACATGACTTTAAGAAGTATA